CCATGGTCTCCCCCCGAGGGGGTGGCTTTGTGAAATGGCTGATCTAGCCACTGGGGACTTTGCTGCCGTGACCACACTGCCTGGCCATGACTGCCTCCAAGGAGAGAGACTGTCCCCCTCTCCAACCCACAGACCCAAGGTCTCCACGTTCTTTCCACCAGGGGGAGATTGTCTACCTAACTCCACTTCTTGGGGCCAAAGGAAACATATCCCATCCCCCTTCCTCATAACAGTAACAGCAACAATAACAGTGTAGCTGGCCCATTAGGTCTGTTTACCATCCTACCTGCAACCCTGGACCCATTCCTAGCCACACTGGACTGAGGCAGGAATAGGCGTCTCAGCCAGGACTATGCAATACACTGACCTGTCACAAACGTTAGCGGAGAGACTGGACTGTCTCCCTGGGAAGATGCCAACAAACATGTAGTGAGGGAATGCGATCACTAGCAAAGGCAAAGGAAGCTGGAAACCTGTGGCCCAGAGAAGGCCCAGGTGAGAGCTGAAGGTATGAGCAGAGCCCAAGAGGGAACAGAGGTGGAGAGCAGAGGGAGGGTGCGGAGGGTGGAGGCTGCGCAGGGCGGCAGGAGGAAACCACAGAGGCCTATGGGGAAGCCCCGCCTGGAAGGCCCCCTCCTGGGCCTGCTCCCCTCCTGGGCCTGCTGACAGCCACTCTGGCCCCCTACTGGCTGTCCTTCCGCCATGCAGCAGCTTGGGGTGTTTACAAAGCATGAAGCCAAACATGCAGCTCTACAGTTTAAAACCCTCCGGGGGATTCCTCACATTTGAAGAAAATCTAAACGACTTCCCACGTGGTACCACGCTATCAGGCCCCTCAAAAATCTGTGACCCCAGCCTGCACCATGCAAGCCAGTCCCTCTGGCCTCTGTGACCTGGGACCCCACCGTGTGACCTCGGCCCCCACCATGTGACCCCAGTCCCCACCACATGACCCCGGCCCCTCTGGCCTCTGTGACCCCAGTCCCCACCACGTGACCCTGGCCCCTCTGGCCTCTGTGACCCCAGCTCCCACCAACTGCCCTTTCTACCACCATGCTCTGGCCACACCAACTTCCTTTCAGCCTGTCCCTACTGCCATGACTCCCGTCTTAGGGCCCTAGGCCTACAAGACTCTCCCCCCAGATCTTCTCATGCCAGCTCCATCTTAATAGTCAAGTTGCAGCATGGACAAGGCCCCTGAGGAAGCAAACTCTTTCCCCGAACACTGCCTGCCTCGTCCCACTGTTTTAATCTCCTTTGTAGCACTGTTACTTCCTTGCTTGCTTCTGGTCCTCTGCCTCCCCCTCCCCCAACACACCACAAAAGTGACTCCAGGAGAACAGGCCTGGCTGGCCTCCCTACTGCTCTGATCCCAGCCCCGTAAGGATCCAAAACTTAGGGGGGCTCAATAAACAGTCATGGAAGGAACAGACTGCATGAGTGAACAAACACACTAGAGTGAGGAGCCCAGGGAAGGTGTCCAGATGGACCCCTCAGCATCTGCCCCCTCCGTGATCACAACCATGGTCACTGTCATGGAGAGGCTACTTCCTCTACGCCGGGTGCTGCTGGAAAGGGCTCATTCTATCCTCATTGGCTCCCCTGATGAAGGTACCAGCATCAACCCCACTTCACAGATGAGAAGACAGAGACACTGCAATGTTAAGAACTTATTCAAGACCGTGTAACAAAGGAAGTGGCGGAGCCAACACTTTGAAGCCAGGCTGCTGAGGTCCACGGTCTGTGCTCTTAACCGTTTCTATGTACCTGTGTGTCTGGTGCCACAGTACCCTTAACTGAAGGGACGGCCCTGCAGATGGAGCACCTGCGACACGGACTGTGCACACGTTCCTTCCAGCAGCCCTGGGAGGTTTTACTAACAATAAACCAAAGCTCAGGGAGGTGCCAATACCTGCTCTGGGATGCACCACTCACAAGCAGTTTGTCTGACTTTAAAGCCCATTTCCCTACATTCCCCAACAGCCACAAAGTCAAATGCCCTGATGAGATAGGGCAGAAAGGAGCCATGGGAACTCACCCAGGTGTAAGAGAAGAAATAGCCCAATCATGATGATACATTACAACTGACACTTGGGCTCAGCACTGGGGCCCAAAAGGGAGTGGTGGGGTCTGTGGCAAATGGGAAGGCTGTGCTCTGTGTAACGGCAACAGCTGCTCATCAGCTCCCACTGGAGGCTGCCTTGTGAGAGGACAGCCCAGCATGGGAACTAGAGCTTTCTATTTTCCAGTAGAAATCCAGATTCTTTTATGCATATATATATATATAAATCTTTTGAAAATTCCAATGTTGGAAAATAACAAAAAAAAAATCTTTTTTAAATTATGTGAGTCTAAAAACATTATGTGGGGGCAAATCTCACTCATAGGCTTCCAGTTTTTAACTTCTGGACTCCCCCGGGGCCAGTCTTCCCTATGTTTGAAAACAGTTGCCACATTCCTTGCCCACATTAGGCAGCCCCCAGAGTTCCACAGCAGGGTCCTCATGGGTAGCAACTGAGCTTTATTCAATGTGTTGTTTTAATTCCAGAGCCTAGTGCAGTGCCTGGCTCACTGCAGGTGTCAACAAATGTTTGTTAAGTTAATGGACAATTTCTTTCACAAAATGCAATCTGCCTGCCCCATTCTTCAGTCTCTCCAAACCAAATTCACTGCCATCAGTCAATTCTGACTCATAGCGACCCCATTGGGTTTCCAAAGGCTGAGGATCTTTACAAAAGTAGATTGACACATCTCCTGCAGAGCAGCTGGTGGGTTTGAACCGCTGACCTTCTGCTTAGCAGCCTAATGCGCCACCAGAGCTCCCATAGTTTGTCTCTATCTGCAAAGGTGTGGTCCCCAAAGGACCATGTGGAGGGTGCAGTGGGCTGGCCCTCAGCACCTACTCGTCCCCTTCTTCTGGGATCAGGAGAGACCAGAAAGCCACACACTGACCCCCTTCAGCTCGGGCTCTGGATGTGATTTAGGTTCAGTCCATCAGGTGGCCTCACCCAAAGCAGGGAAAGCAGAAGAGGTGCAGAGAAGGGGTCCGTGCGACACAGTTTCTGTGGTAAGCACAGTTAGGGAGGTAATGGGTTTTTCAACAATGTCCCACACTGGCTACACAAGTTATGGGCAAGGTCCTTGTTCGCCGTGTGGATCTGGTGGACACAGAATGACCCTGAGGCCTACAGCTGTGCAGTGGCTTCCTGACTCCTAGATCATAGCTAAGGTGACGCGCCCCTGATCCTGATACCCTGTCTTCCTGTGTCATGGGGGGCAGCTTTCCTGGCAGGCCAGCACTAGGATGCTTGCTGGTGCCATTCCTGGAGCCCCAGCTCAGCACCTACTCCTCATGCCATCCCAGTGATTTTATAAACACCTGTTTTCTTATATTAAATTCCTTTCTGCTTAAAATAGCAGAAAGTAGTGGTCTCTATTGTTAGGCACTGACTGATCCCTGACCCGACAGTGCAGAAGGACAATTACAGCCATCATGGCATCAGGAAGCCAGGAAATTAGCCATGATTAGGCCCTGTGAAGTGTGGGACCACAGGGAGAGACTGGGAGAGATGCTAATTAATCTTAGGCCAACTCTTTTAAAGTGAACAGACTCTGGGGCCAGCCATTAAGTCACAGTCTAAGACACAAACATGGCTCCTGAAAATAGAAGGCACTCAGAACCATTGGAAGGAAGGTCTGAAGTGATAAGAGGTAAAAGGCTTCATTAATGAGAAATTAACATTCATTGCTGGGGACAAAAGGAGGCCTCCAGGCTGTCTGCCTGGCAGGCTAGCTCATCAGCCCGAGGGTCAGGAGTTACTTGGCAGAACTATCTTCCCCATTTCATCTCGGAACCACAAATCCCCCGTGGGACATGGAAAGACCAGCAGGATGGACTCACATGTCCAGGGATCCAGACACCACCTTACTGCCTTGGCCCTTAGCAGCTATGTGACACAGAGTAAGTGGCCTTACCTCTCTGGGCCTTGGTTTCTTAAGCAGTACAATGAGGACACTTACTGACCTGGAGGCTGATTGTAAAGCTGAACTAACAAAAGCGTGTGACAGTGTCTACACAGACCTATATACTTGCTAATGTGTAAATTGTTATCAGACAGCAGTTCCCAATCTTGGTGCTCAAACCTCACCTCATACCAATTACAGCCGAATCTTTGGGATGGCACCTGAACACCCAGACTTTAAACCTCCCAGGTGATTCGAATGTGCAGCAGGGTTGAGACTCACTGGTCCGAGGTGAAGTATGAGCGACTGTGAGGCAAGAACATTTGAACATTTGAACTTGAAACGAAAGACCTGGGCTTGAGTCTTGATTCTGCCACTTCTTAGCTCTTGACCTTGGAAAGCTCACTTGACTTTTCTGAGCATGTCTCCTTAGCCCCCTTAAAGGAAGGACAATGCCAGCATTTACTCGAGGAGTCTGCTGTGAGGGCAAAGGAGAGGAGTCGCCCGAGAGATCAGCCCACGCCTGGCCCCTAGTTGTTGTTAGATGCCATCAAGTCAGCTCCACTCATAGCGACCCCATGCTCAACACAACGAAACACTGCCTAGTCCCTAGCAGGCAGTCAGAATGTAAGCTGCTGACCTAGGTACCATCAGCAGTGACCCAAACTGGCAGCTCAGGTCTCTAGGGCTCTGTCTTAGTCACCACTGCATCCTGGCATCTAAGTCTGTGCCAGGCACACAGTAGGTGCTCAATGAAAAGTCGTATACGTGAGTCATCACGACAGGCCATTGAGTCTAGCCTTGCTCCACTCCTGAGTGGACTGGGGCAACCCCCATCCAGAGGGAAGGCCACGTAGCAAGGAGGGCTCCTGAGTGAGATGTCCTCAGCTCTCCAGACAGAGCCCCTTCTACACGCACAGTGGGTGCCACCAAAGTGCCCAGCTAGACCCGGGGATTTTAAACACTCCCATCTCACATTCCTTGGTCTACAGTGTGATCTAGGGCCACAGGCTTGACTCTGCCCTGGGTTTCCAGACCTGGTGCCATCCTCGGCGCTGGACTTTGCTGGGGGCTGTCCGAGAGCCGCGTCTTAAGGCTTCTTCAGCTTCTCTAAATAGGGCTCTTCGTCCGTAATCTGCACCAGACAGAGATGGGGGAAGGAGACTTGGTGAGGCACCGGAAGCAAACTCACAGTGACGGACAGTCTCATAACGTACATCTAAAATACATGTCAGTGCACCAGAGGCTCTGGGCATGAGAGTGTTCATCGCAGCACTGGCTGCAGCAGCACGACATTAGAAAACAAGCTAAGAGGCCGGCCACCGCAGGATGTCTTAATAAATTACAGCACATCCACGCCTTGGAAGAAGATGAATAGTGACACATGGCCAAACTGGGCAGATCTATATACACAAAGAACAATCTCCACAATATAGAAGTCAGGTATAGAACGGTGTGCACAGTAGGCCCGTGTTTATGCAAATGAGGGGAGGGAGTAGATGTATTTGTTCAGTGACTGAATGAATGTACTGATGGGACCCAGGTACAGAGACATCCAGGTAGAAGAACCAGGAAAGGCCCCATTCTCCTCAGCAGCAGCAGGCATGCCTGGCCTCCTCCTCTAGGAAAGCGAGGAGAGCCATCAGGTTTCCCTCTGTGCCCTGGGGACTAGGAAGCTTACGCTAAACTCCAAGCCTAACTCACACTGGCTCTCCTAAGGGAAGGTTCTGGGATATCACTTTCTCCTTTCACCTCCTTGCTGTTGTTACTTTGTTAGTTTTGTCTTTTATATGTGTGGATTCACGGCTTGGGATCTGGTGGTACCTGGGAGGCAACGTGTTAGAACAACACAAATCCAGACTATAGCGTGCCAAGCACTTTACATTTCTTACATCATTTAATCTTCCTGGCAAGCCTGCAAGGTAGGTAGAATTGTTCCCATTTTACAGAAGGGAAAAATGAGGGTCATAGAGGTCCCAATTACCTGAGGTCGCAAAAGGGTTCTAACCTAGCTCTACCTCATTCTAAATCCTCTCCTCCTCAGGAGCACACTGGCCTCTCAAAGTTGCTTCTCCACAGTAACATGGCCAAATTGGAACCTGACTCCATCTGCCCTGCCTGTTTCTGGCGCCTGTCTTGGCCCAGACACTGGGGTGGGTGCTTTTCCATCACACTTCACCGGCATTCTGTGCTTTTATTACAGACACATGGCATCTGTTTAAAGTACGCATGGTATGGATTAACTAACTGCAGAAATGAGCATGAGGTCAATTGTGACACAGGAATCAGGCATGAAGTTAACACATACAAGTCACCCTTGGAAATTCCCTACATTACTGGCACTTAAGATGGAGGGAATGTAAAATCCAGGAATTTACTGCTCTGGCCACCTTTGCCCTGAGGTACTGGAGGTCGAGACTTGAAAAAGAATTAAAAAAGGGTTTTTCTTTCTCTCTCTCTGACCAAGCAGGCACTGCTGTTGTTAGCTGGACAATGGGATCAGACCACTGTGGTTCACAGGGTTCTCACTGGCTGACTGCTGGACAGAGACTGCCAGGCCTTTCCTCCTAGTCTGTGTTAGTCTGGAAGCTCTGCTGAAACCTGCTTCTCATCACAGTAACACTCAAGCCTGTAGTTAACTTGTCTAGGTTAACTAGTTATCTGCTGGAATGCTCACATGCATGGACATGGCTTCACTCCCCTAACAATTGATAGGGCTGTTGCTAGGCCTGGACAGGCCTGTGCTCACCATGTGTCCCCTCGGCGTGTGAGGCACTTCTAGAGAAGTCAGATTGGGTGACTTTGCGTGGTGATGTCTTCAGCTCAGAATTGGCACCGTTGACGTAGACAGAGAAGCCCTGCTCCAAGTGTTCCAGCCTCAACTGCACGGGGTCCTTGGTTTTCAAATGCTTTAATATCCTGAAAGAGAAAGGATGGCTTGGTCCTCATCATAGGCAGGCCCAGCACGGAGCCCACTGCTGCCCTGATGGCAAAGTGTCTCTAATCAGCGACAGGGTCATGGGTCCAGCTGTTTGTCAACAGAAAGCCTCTGCAAGGCCCATTACACATATAGTGACGCAGCCAGAGGAGCCTGCTGCGGGCCTGCGGGGCGTTCCTGCTCTGCTGCGGAAGCTGAAAGCCACACTAGCAAACGTGAACACACATGTCCTCACCCCACGGAGGCACGTGTGTCTGCAGCTGCCATGCAGCCTGGCTCTTCTGAGATGATCCCAATCTCATGTGATCACACTTTGTGTGGATGGTGCCACTTTATTCAACATGCAACAAAACGTGGGTTAGGATTTCAGCCTTTGTGAGAGAGTTTCACGTAACACATTTACAAATCAGAAAACACCATTCAGTAGACCGGGATGATTGATTTTTGCTTCAGAAAATGTGTGTGCGTGCGTGCATGTGTCCCCACACACTCACTATTAATATCTCAAATGCCACAATTTATTTTTCTGATGCTGTTTAAAAATATACCAGTGCAGACCTTTGTTGAAGATGAAGGATCTGACTATCCCAGCCCTTGGGGCAAAAGGGTCTTGGCGTGAGCATGGCCTGGTCTCTAGTTCAGTTTTCACAAAAGCCTCTCCTCACCCCTTGGGCTGGGCCTACCCACTCTTGACACCACACCGCCACACACAGTGCCTCAGTATCCTCTCCAGCACCCTCCAGAACCTCCTCCACTTGACACCAAACTCCTCAGTATCTTGCAAACACCTTTATGCACTCCCACATTGACCAGCTTGATCACAACACGAGAAGAATTCAACCAGCCAACATGGTGACATGTGAGAATCCTCAGCAGGAATTCAATACCAACAATTAGGGTCGCCATGTGTCAAAACCGATTCAACAGCACCTAACAGCAACAACAGATTAACAAATTTCAAATTTTAAAAAATAATTATCACAGGTGGGTACTCGGTTTGCTGGTCCAATAGAGCCTGATGGAACCACTGAGACTATGGCCCCTAGCTGCCCTTCAGGTCTGGAATTGAACCCATACCTGTGGTTTCCAGCCAAACAAAGTACAGGCATGTGAGTTAAACATT